CCCGTTATTGTGCCTCTGTCTAATGTTTACTTTCGCCATACACTCTTAAAAAAAGGGGAGCGATTTTTCTCAAAAAGAGGGTAAAATCGCTAACTCGTTTTACTCCCCTTTCACTCTGGGAAAGGAGTGAAATTGCTCTCCTCCGTGAGTAAAAACTCTCCCATCAGAAAGATGTCATGCAAATATACTATTCTCATATATGTACTGTGAGTCGCTTTCGCTCTCGTACAGGCGTTGACCTACCTCTGATTGTACTGATTACAGCACAGGTCAGAGGGTGGATCACCTCTTATAGGTTCTGTGGCGTGTCCGGGATATCAGTCCCTTATTACCTCATTTAATTGAGATATGATTGAATATTGAAGATATGATTGAATTGAGATATGATTGAAGTTCACGGACAATGTGCACAATATATATATTCTAGATCTCCTATGCAATTAAAATCATACGCGTTCCAAAAGTGGTCTCAATAGGAATATAAGCTTCTTTATGGCCTGGACTCCACGAATATGTCTTTAATATGTGGATAACAAATGATGAAGTGTCCGTGTTTATTGATTCCTTTAATGAGACTAGGCGAGACATATGGCAAGGTACAAAACAATCCTGCGAGGGACGATTCCAGGGAAAGAGGAAAGGGAACTTTTGTGTACTGTGCGAAAAGCAAGACCCTTACCTCCATCTAGTGACCTGACAAAGAACTTCAAGGTGTTCACTTCAATACGAGCGATGAGGGAGCATTTGGTGAGTAATAAGAGAGTAAATTCGAAAATCTCACGGTGTGCTCCCTTTTTACTCCCCAAACGCTCGGAATTTTCTGTGTGGAAAGTCCATCGATCCGACTTCCCATGTCTCTCGTTGCTTGGGCGATAACGACGTTCGTTGCATCTATGGCCCGCGTCGAGCTGAGTGATTTCGACGGAGCGATTCCGACCAGAATGGAAAAGGATCCGATAAAATTCTAAAGAGATCGACGGCACCCCGTAATCGTAATCGTAATCAAAGCGACGGCAGATCCTCGCAGAAACCCAATCGGATCCCCATCGGGAATTACATCTAGCTTTTCATTCATTCGTTCCATTTCGCTTTCAAACACCCACTCGACCGTCGAGTGGGTGTCAGAAAGCGAAAAGCTGAAAAATCCATCAAACTTTTCCATTCCGTCCTGCCTTTGATACCTGAATATAGTCTTTCTCCGAAATGCTCCACAGTAAACAGGTCGCTCAAATTTGCTAATGCGGAACGGAAGAGCCTCCGTCACGCCGGCGACTCTGCGATCGTTTCCCTGGCGACTGGCGAGGAACTGGAGTGCGAGGCCGCGCGAGAGACATCTATTGGGGATTTTGTGAGGCNTCTATAAAATTTGATACCCGAGACGACCATTATTTTCCAAAAGAAGGATTCCGATTTAGAGCGAACGCTCGCTACAATATGCTGTCCAACCAAGACGATTTTCTTCCGTATTTAATGCTAAACGGTACTTTAGAAAATCATTTTCCTCTGGCTAAAAAATTCACACTTAACACCAAGATTTCTTTTGGAACTACTTTTGGAAACGTAAATACCGAATTGTTTCAGAATCGTAACGGAGGAATTTTTTTATCAAGCATTTTTAAACTTTGAACGTTTTTATGGCTATCGTTTTGATGAAATTAAAGGAAATCATAAATTTAACCTCTACGGAGAATTTCGATACGAAATTTTTAAAAAACACCATCTTTCTTTATTCGGAAATATCCTCAATATGGAAGATGAATTTTCTAAAATTAAATTTTTTAAATACGACTATTCCGGAGTAGGAATCTCCTATGGGTATAACTCTCCTATCGGTCCTTTGCAATTTTATTATACCTATTCCCCTTCTACCAAAGAAAGTTTATTTAACTTAAATTTGGGTTATACGTTTTAAAAGAAAAAATCTATATTTGTGAATTAATAAATAAGTTTGTATAGCATAATCGACATAGAAAGTTCGGGAAGTAAATACCAAAAGGAAGCAATCATGGAAATTGCAATTTACCGCTTTGATGGAAAAGAAATTATCGACCAATTTATTTCTTTAATCAATCCCGAACAAAAAATTGATGAATTTGTTCAACGCCTTACCGGAATCACGGATAAAATGGTAAAAACTGCTCCAAAATTCCATGAGGTTGCTAAACGAATTATAGAAATCACTCAAAATAGTATTTTGGTAGGACATAACGTACCGTACGATTACAAAATGCTCCGAGATTCTTTTTTAGCTTTAGGGTATGATTTCCAAATCAGAAGTATAGATACGCTACCTCTTAGTCATCAATTATTACCCGACCAAAAATCCTATTCTTTAGGAAAATTGTGTCGAGCGTTGGGAATTCCGGTTGCAGATAGACATCGAGCCAGTGGAGATGCCTTTGCTACGGTGCAACTTTTTAAACTTCTTTTGGAAAAAGACAGCAGCAAAGAAATCATAAAAAATATTGTTCACGACGAATTTCAAATTAAATCTTTTAAGGAATTGGAGAGGATTTTAAAAGAAATTCCACACGAAAAAGGAGTTTTCTATTTTTTTAATTATGCTATTTATTATACATACGGTAAAACACCACCGAGCGATAATTTTTCCTCCTGAATCCGATGAGTAATAAGTAGATATTTACGGCAACTCCAATATTGAAGTTATTGCGATGAGATTTTGCACAGTGGAAGGTACCATATTCTCCTGTGAAAGAAGTAAAAGAGCTGCCACCAGCCCCGACCATATTTGGTAATATCGTTAGCTTTCGCTACCTACGCTAATATTCGCTACCATCTGTCGATACGATGTGCGATCGCCGTGCGACGAAGGGTTCGTCGATCGACAGGTATGAAATCGTGCTACGACATGGACCAGTCGGCATCATCGAACAACGATGCAAGTGGATAAATAAAAATGGTCCTGGTTTATGCTTCTCGAGGATTTCTGGGTACGTTCTTTAAGTCATACAGGGTGTCCATAAAGTGATTACCTATGGCGACTTTTTATTATAGACCCCGAAGTAGTCTTTTTTAAGCTTCTGTAGACTGACAACGTACTGACCTTGGAATAGTGTCAGATCTTTCCTGCTTCCACTTTGGTGCGGCCCAGAACTCATTTCCCACATCCGATGTTTCATGATTTTTTTTTTCATTTGAATGAAAAAGAAATTCAGACATCAATTCGAGGAAAATGTCGCCGTTCGACTTTATCGCAAAACTTATTGCAGCCATCACAGTATTGATTGAATAATAGAGCGTCTTAGAAATTCAAAATCATAAAAATGAGACATTTACTCGATTAATTGGCTCAATGTGTCACTTTTCGGGACACATGGCGAGAGAGATATTCTCTTTCAAGTTGTTCAGATCTGTGGGCTTGTCCTTGTAAGCAATGAATTTTAATTAGCCCCAGGGAGAAAAAAAAATCACAAGGGGTAAAAATTGGAAGATTCCGGAGTGCTACTGTCCAAATGTTTAAACCAGTAATTGAAACAACGGGGTGTGAAATGAATTCTCAATCACAATTAGAGTGTAGGAACAAAAGTTGTGACACCATTCCGACGTCTGTTGTTAAACTGCCTGCAAAAATAAAAAGATCCCCCCGATTGTGTGTGAAAAAAGCTGTCCACAAGTAGTCACTTTATGGACACCCTGTACCTTGCGATCTCATGCGAATATGACGGTTCCTCTTGGTTAAATCATAAAGTTGGCGATCGCACACGTAACGGTTACAAAAATTACGCATTTCTGATCGTCGATTGGTCCGAGTCTTTTCCGTGAGGCCTATTTGAGATGCACGCATGTGGGACACAGGTTATGGAGATCGTCTATGTCCTCGTTAGCTACATTCCGAAACGCGATCCCCGTGCGTCTTTTGTGCGACCAGGAGTCACGCCCTTCCTTCCTTCGAATGGAAGGAGGCAGATTTCGGCTTCGTGTGAATTGCATCGAGAGTGGTTCGAGGAATCCCATATTACGCTGGTGCTTCTGTGATTGTCGTCATCTTTCTTTCTTATCATCATCTTTCACACACCGTATCCAGCATTGCTTTGAGTGCATTTAGGCTGTAAGGACCAAGTCTGAATTTTAACCAGGCTCTCTTCCTGTCCTTTCCTATGTCTTCCCAAGCCTATCCATTTTTTCTGCAGTGCTGCCGGGGGGGGGGAAGGGCTCATATATTCTCTTTTTCTCGTACGCGTCCTGGCCACCGTAGTTCGAAGTTCTAGATGTTCTCATCCTTGAATATCAAAATTCCATGCGATGACGAAGAGCACGGTGCGATCTCTTAATGAATGAAACTGCAGTAATTTGCCTTTAATAGCGACAGCATCGATTTTGAAAGGCCACGAAAGACACGTCAGATTGCACGTCTTTCGTAGAGAAACACGAGGTGAATCGCCAAATCGGTTACGGATGGACGAAGATGGGGGTCGACCCACAATGCACACAGGCTCCTGAAGCGAAAAATCCATATCGCACCGCGATTCTCTCTCCTTCTATGGAATTGTCGGGCGACGTCCCTCTGTGTTCGTTTCTGGAAGCTGTAATTGCTTCTCCCTTGTTCAAAACTGAAGTTTAGATTTACCTAAAGGTCATTTCCAAAAAATTGTTGGTCCAAGATGCGCGAATAACAAAGGACACACCTCGTCTGGCACCACTGCATTAGCCGTAATTCGGTATAATCTCGGGAGAAGTGCACATCCTACAATAAATCATGCTCGTATTTATTTTACAGGAGGGGCAAGATGGGCATCACAGAGGCAGAATGCTAACAATATGAACTTTTGCTAGTCGCGTCAAGAATATTCTCCAAGTCACGTCTCCTGACTCACCACGCTTTCTTTTCATCGCATCGCGCGACGATCCCAAACTCTTTGATGTCGCTCGGTGATGCTTTACCCTAAATATATATATATATATATTTTTTTTAAATCTATTTATTTATTTATCTTTTATTTGATTATTTTCGTCATTATTACTTTTAAAAAATGCTTTAACTATCTGAAATGATAATGCGACGGACCCATTTGATTCTTGTGTCGGTTGTAGAATGCATTGACGACGGTGGGGGAGACGTTCCACCTGGTCTTGTTCACCGGCTTCCCGTAGAACTTCATCTCGTTCTTCACGTTGTTGCTGAGGTGCTGGAACTGGTTGTTGAAGAAGCAGCACGGGTCCATCTTCACCTGCGGGGACGATCGCGCTTCCTTCGTCATTTCGAAGCGAGGGCAGGAAAAGTGAAGGCCAAGGTGGGTGAGGGTCGAGGTGGGTCAAGGTCAAGGTGCGTCGAGGTCGAGGTGGGTCGAGGTGGAGGTGATGGGATTTGTTCCAGTCTTGATCGACGAGCATCTCGAAATGCGATTTTATCGTTGACTTTTGACAAAGTGGAAACCTTGAAACTGGTTTTCCACAGCTCTACGCGCTTTGCGTTCTACATCGGTTCATTTTCACTGAGTTTCTGCTGTATTTTTGCTGAATTTCGTGTGCCGTACCTGATCGTATTCCCCGTCGACTTCGGTGAAGTTGAAGATCTCCCCAGGGAATCCGACGTGGAAGGACATGGCGTGGACTTTCCTCCTCGCGGCGTCTTGCGTCTCCGCGTCCATCCAGGAGAGGTCCTCGATCAATTCCTGGAACTCGTCTCTCAGCTGGGCGACCAGCTCCTGAGCCTGAGGGGGGGGGGGGGGCGATGGCTTCGATCGGGTCGGGTGTCGTGTTCAGAATATCAACTTTGTCGCTCTCGATTTTGAAAGTTTCGTGAAAATTTGAAATGTGGCAACTCGATTTGAATGTTTCATATATGCAATCCTAAGTCACTCAAGGGAGAAGAGAAGATGCAGAATTCTGCAGAAGTAAAAATTGCGAAGCTGAAGCTAAAAAAAATAACCGAAAAAGGACTTAAGGGGTAGGCCGAAACCCAACGGAGAGACCCTCGAGCGACCTCTGAGCAACCTCGGAGCAACTCACCTCATTCTGACTCTCGTGATCGTAGTACCGCCGGATGAAGGGCGCCGCGAGCGCCACCCCCAGATTCCCGATCACGTACTTGACGCAGAACCTCCACCGCGGCGGGGTCTTGGTGCTCCCGGTCAGATAGGCCACGTATCCGGCCTTCATCGTCTGGAAGGCCTCGCTCAGCATGTTCGCTCGGTTCAGGAAGAAGCGGAAGAGCATGTAGTCCTTTACGACCCTGGAGGGTAAGTGAGGCGTGGAGGGTCAGTCGGCGTTCATCGATGCCGTAGTCGAACGAATACGGCGATTAATTTATATTCATTGAAAATATTTTCCGCTGCCCTGTCGGATTTTTTTTTATGACATTGTCGTTCAACGATATTACTACCTGGTGGCGTCAACCAAGTAAAAAAAATTTCGTGGGTTTGTCGTCGGGTCATAGCTGGGGAAGTTGGCTCATATTCGGTGAATGATTGGCCGGTCAATCATGTGCCGAAGACGAGCCAATATGGTTGAGAAGGTTCCGATAACCGGCGTGAGTTGGAGCCAAAGTGGTCGTAGTAGGGAATCACTTCCCGGATTCAACTGAAACGAGTCCCCTGTCCTGTTGACACAGTTCCCTGTGGTTTCTCACATAGATCTCAGAGGGAGACAATTGAATTCCTAGAAACATTTTTCTGATGCTGTAACCTTAGCCAGGGACGGACTGGCCATCTGACAGCTCTGGCAAATGCCAGAAGGACCGGCGGGCCGGTCTTCTCTAGGAACGAAGGGCCGGTCCTCATTTACCCTATTAGTCTTATGCAACGAAACTTTTCGAGTGAGCACGAAGTATATTGGGAATAGGCCCAACTGTGGAACATTACATTTTCAGGCGTTTCTAGTACGCCTACCTACATTTTCAACGAAATATCCGCGATATTCGATATCGATAGGGCTAGTCACAGTCGGGCTGGCGATGTGTTCCTGGCCTGGGCTGTAGCTAGTTCTGCGTAGTATCATTCATTCCCTGCTTAAAAAAAAAAAAAAAAAAAAAATTTATTGATGCTTAACCACTTACCAGTTTTCTTTACAATTAATTAAACCAAAAATGTAATCCATAGGACAAAGTTAAAAATACAAGAAGACGAAAGCTTAGTCGAATGATACGGGCAGATCAAGAACGAAACAACGAAACACGAGTCTCCGGTGTCTCATGCGGGCAAGTCAGTTTTGGGACGACGACGTCGCCCGCATCAGAGACGGGTGAATCAGGAAGCGGTTAACTATAAAACTGATGGATGGAGAAGAGATGCCGACAGAGGGAGAAGGGGGATCAAACAAGGTGCTACGAGTGGGACTTCACCAGATAGGACAAAGGAGATGGAAGACAGGTCAGGGTTGTCAGGCGGGTCAAGTCGAGCTCAGGTGACTCCCTTTTTTTTTTGGAGGCACGCGTATCTCTTCCATGTATAACGTGTGGCACAACATCGTTTCCATGCATTCCTGCTTGCGATACCTCACTTTTATTCCTCCCTACCTTTTCCCCTAATTGTTGCTTTGCAATGGTAATGTATAAGGAAATTGCAAATTCTGAACATATGACAACCCTGTCCTTCCATGAATGTCTCTTTCCCCCCGCCATACTCTATAATATACTCGACATTCCAGGTCGGTTTACCAGAATTTAATGGCCTTTCCCCCTTTTTAACCATCCTGGAGCCGATACTACGTTTCCTGGGAGGGAACCAGCTATACATCCCTTCAATAGCGTCGCCACCCCAGCAGTGCGATTCCATAGCGCCTTGCAGTTGTGAGTTGATAACCACCACTGCACCACAAATGATGAACCCAGCTGCACCGACAATGAGGTAGGTCTAATTATTGCCTAGTAATTCGTTTTAGCGATCAGTTTAGGCTTATAAGCTATAGTCTCAACGTGGGCCAGTGAGAGCAAAAATGCCAGGCCGATTTTTAGTCCCAGTCCGCCCCTGAACACAGCCCTGAAATAAACCAGGAAATCCCGGCCCGGAGGTCCGTGGGAGGATCCTTCTACTTTCCACGATGAGCTACGTGACATATTATAGCTCCTTAAATATACATTGAAGAGACTTATTACGAACAAGGAGTCCCCGGCCTCCCGCGAGAGGACGGATACTCTTGCATTCCCTTGTGATTCCGCTCCTGGATGCCTTAGTGTTCCGGAAGGGATGTTGCTTGGGATATTCTCAGCTCTTGGTGATGGGAGTGTACCTGTGTAAGATGTTCTAGTAAGGTACCGCTCCTTTATCTCTCCCAGATGAAGGAGCAGTTGGGGGTCAAAAGATGCATACACTCTTAGAAAACAGTGAGCAATGTCTGAGAAAGGGAGCGAAACTGGAGTTAGCGGTTTTACCCTCGAAAATACGAGGAAATGCAATCGATAACTACTCCTCAAGAGCAAAATCCATATCTTTTTTCAAAAGCACGAAACGAATGAGGGAGAGTACTTTTCAAACTAGTAGGAAAAGTAAGTGGTTGTTCTCTGGAAAGAGAGAGGTGAGCGGCATTATTCCTTATTTTTAGGGAGTAAAGCCGCTAACTCCAGTTTCGCTCCCTTTCTCGGAAATCGCTCACTCTTTTCTAAGAGTGTAATGCTGTAGATGCAGTTTATGTGGTTTTTTTTTTCCCTATATCTTTCTACCATTATGAAAAGTCGGCTTACGGTTTGGGCATGTGCGGTTTCCCAACAATGAGCCAAAGTTGACCCGATGGAGGACCAACAGGTCGTGCCCGACCATAAGCAGTGACGTAACCAGGATTTTTCAAATGGGGGTCTAAGTGAAACGGTGAGGGGGGGCTTACATCTCCTCCCCGGGAAAGGGGAGGGGGGGGGGATGGCGGATGCATTTAGACTGGAGTTGGGGGGGGCTTAAACCAAACTTGGGGGGGCTTCAGCACCCCCAGTCCCCCCTCGCTACGCCACTGACCATAAGTCGGGCATATGCCAGTGATGGCCCAACTAAGGCTTATATACGCATCGACAAAAAGTCAACGGTGGCCCGATGAAATTTTTTTACTGGGAATTTTTTGCTGCTTATACAACGTGATCGTCAGCGAGAAATCCCCGGCCCCTCGACGCTCTCTTCAAAGGGCTGAATACGTAAAAATCATACGGTGACGTCTAGACTGTACGGAGGACCGTACATCATGGCTTTTTTCAACAGTCCAATACTCTCGATGGCACGACCGAGTTCACCGCGTAGCGTATTGCAGTGTCTCTCCGAGTTGACTGCAGGGCAAAAAATCCAGCAGGACTGGGTCGCGACAGAGTGACGTCACACGGTCACCGAGACTTTTCCTACAGAAGCGGTTTCCACGGAATTTTTTTCGGTGGGGCAGATCGAGAATGCATGCTGGCACGTTATCGCTCGGGCGAAAAATTATGGGTTTCATGGAGTGCCGCGATTCACATCGGATTCATGGACTATCGTGTGCACAGACCCATGACTAATCCCCACTCCTGAGGGGATTAGCATCGAGAGACAGCGTCTCTTTGATCCGATCATCTCGTTCGTCTTTGCGATGTTCGAGTCCACAAAACATTTTGCCTCATTCATTTAGGAAGTAGCCATCTTTGGTGGTTTCCACGCGATGTTCCTCAAGCAGTGATGCCAATAACATAACATTAACAGTGATGTCAAATACATTTCTGACGCTAGTCCAGTGAACTCTAGACAATAGAGTAACCGGGGGAATATGGGCAGCTCTTCACATTTTCTTCAATTGTTGAGAGATACGAGTATATGAAAAAAAAGCGATCAATTGATTTAACTACACTGTAAAAAAATAATGGTTCAGGCTGGAACTCTTCAATGGTTCTACACCCTTAAAAAGGTTCCAGTTACTGTAGAACCATATGAATTGGTTCCAGCCCAGATGTAGAACCATATGAAACTCCATCGCTCTCGTAGAACCTCTGGAACTTGCCATTGGTTCTAGGTACAACCATTTCGGATGCGCTTTCTCAAAATGGTTCGGAAAAGGATCCCTTCAGGGCTTGATATGTAGATATTTTTTTCGCCATACACTCAGAACTCCCTCCCTCCTCCTCCTCACTCCCTTTCCTTTTTAAAATAGGTTTTACCAATCGGCGCCAGGTGGCGCCTAAACGCCGACTTAGCGATTCTCACCCTACTGCCATAGGAATGAATCCCCTGTATTTTTCAACACAATACCCGATCTTTTCCTATGTACAACTAAAGGGAAGGCTTTGGAATTCCTAGAAAGACTCGTTCAAGGAGGTAACCCGGTAGAAGGAGGACTCCAAATACTACTGACCAGGGTGTCCAAAGAGATATGCTCAATTTTCCTAAGTCTCTACATTGCGCATATAAGGACTCAAGTTCTTCTATCGCATTCTGAGAGATGGAGTGTGAAAAGTGAATGCAGGGATATGTCAGGCTCTTCTAGAATGAAATCAAACTGGGATGTTGCTAGACGTGTAATATCAGTTAGATGCACAGATCTACAGATGCGGCGTTTCACGCGCTCACCTAGCAACCCTGTCTACGCGACCGCGAGCAGCCGCGCTATCCCTTTGTCTACTATGGATCCGTCATCCGCGAGGGCTGGAAGGGAAGTGGATGTCTCAGTCGTAGACTGGCACCCCGACCCAGGCGGAAAGATGCGCGTGCGCATTGGCTCGTGTTGTCCGGTCGCTATGGTTACTACGGACAGACGGAATGGGAAAAAAGTGATAAACCGACCGCCACAATATATGGCATTTCCCCATAGTACCCTATGGGAATGCCAGATAAAAATAGCGACAGACTGATCTGTCTGTCTTTTCCTTCTAGTACCTAT